TTGTGAGCTTGGGCCCGAACGCGTTGGCACTAGGAAGCACTTGGTCGGTTCACTGATCAACACACCAAAGCTGCCATGGTAAACACAAGCGGCTTGGCCGCAGCATTCACTGCACTTCGTGAAGTCGCCAAGGGTTTCCTGTGCTGGCCTCACGATGCTTGTTCTGATCTGAACGCGCACGACGTGATCAGTTTGTGACCCGTTCGAGTTCCGAGATTGTACACACAGCTCCCCTGAACAGTCTGCGGTTACTATTTGAATGTTGTACCTCTTGTAAATAGACTTCAAAATGTCGGTCCTTGGCGACTGGATGGCTCATCGGGGCTATCATTTTTATATTAAACGACGCAAGCTATTTTGCAATAATTTGAGGACTTTTTGAAATATAGTTCTGTTCTGCTGCCGTGTGCGTGGAGCCTGACCATTGCACGACAAGCCTGGACCTCATCGAACTCAAGAACTATCGGATTGTGCCTTGTGTGCTTGTGTGTTTGTGTGCTTGTTACGTTGCCCGGGGTCCAAGTTTTACTACGGTAATCCGCGCCTCTCGAAGACGTCATTGGCGGCGTCTCTGGCTTTGGCAGCAGCCTGGCTGCAATGACAAAGCCCTCGCCTACCCCATTCACTGTGATTTTCTGAGCGCCGTCGTAGGAACCAATTGGTTACGCGCCTTCACTCAGTGAAAAGTGACTGCTATTAATTACTGTCTTTCCTGGCAGAAACCGTCGCAGCTGAGTTGGTATTTGGCACGTTAGACACGTTCAATAAGCGTAATTGTGGTATCCAGCCCTTTATCTGTTGCATCTTTCTTAGGCCGCATTACCTTGCCTTCATTTGCTTTAAGTTGCCTGAGGGGAATAATGCAGCAACAATAGACATTCCTCATTCGTCAAATACTCTTCTGTGTCAGCTTTCCGATGTCTCCTAGCTTCGGCGTGATGCCAACAATGGCTGTCTTTGACCTTGCTGAGACTGACCATACAGCTGTGATGTGGGCCATGGAAAGGATAGGCCAGTGGCTAGCAACTATCTAATTGCGTAACCAATTCCTGTGGCTTTAGCATTACCGATCTCTTTCAATTATTCTTAACCAATGGCAAACTTGAGCGATGGTGGTGAACCATTTTCTTAGGCATCAAGCATTACAACAATTGACAGACACTTTTCTTCAAAGCCACTAATATGCTCGTGCCATCTGAACTCTGAAGCGTCCTCATAAGCTGTCAGCCAAGCATGCGGCAATGAGGACTATGTTGAGTTAATGTATACTTCCCATTAATTTTGCGCCAGCCGTTTCTCAGTGTTCATGTTGACACGGATCGTGTTTCCCCCAGGCGGCTCTGCAAATCTTCCATGACCCAGTCGTTGTCGTTAGTCCGAGTCTTGCCTTCCGTCCCTGAAGACAGGACCCATGTTTAATAAAAATACCCCCCGAGTCTTCCCACGACGGCACTAGTATATGCAATGGTTTTGTCGATCTAATTGCATAATCAGCCACAGCGGCAGCTTCACCGTGTGGTGTAGGAGTGTTCATTTTATCAGGTGCATAATTAGCACAACAGCTACGCCTTGGATGTTTGATGACACGAAAGAAAAGGGAACGCTAAACAGCAGCAAGGTAATTTCGTTCCATCACGAGCTCTAGTGCAGCTCAAATTTTAGGGGTCGGAACAGTTGAAGGACTCGGAGAATTGGGTGTGAAATGAAAGCTCCGTACATATCCCCATCTTGATTTACCAGACGGACACAATAGGGAAGAGCCTTTGCCTCGTGTTTCTGCCGCGACGTGATGTAAATCTACGAAGGAGAAGCTTGATCAAGATCTCGCATCCTCGCACTTAGTTCAGGTACATTTGACAGATAGATTGGCATGATCTCACTGTCTAGCCCACAGAATGAGCGACAAGGGCAGCACAAAGACCCGTTCAGGTCCTGGTCCTGGATAGCCGCGAGTCATTAATTTGAATGCATCACATCCGAGATCTCGAAAGGCGTCCAGAAGCTTTCCAGACCTAGATAGTTGGTTGGCATACTTCCGAGACGACAGAAGTCAGCAGTAGACGTCGGAGAATTCAATTAAGTCGACAATTTGGATACCGAGACAGTGGAATCAGTGCTAGAGGCTGTTTGGCCTCCTAATCGACTACTAACTTGGGTTTCCTCCCACTAACAGTTGCAAGTATGATATAGAGCTGTTCGAGTCGGTAGAAAACTGGATGGCGATACGCGCCTTTGTAACATATCGAGTCGGCCTGCGTTTATAGAAGAATAGTGAAGACAGCGAGTCACCTCACAGGCCTCCCGACAAGCCTCTTACCGGCGCTTCTCCCCTTAGTCCTGACGTCAGTTGGTCATGATTCTATTTTGACGGACTGCTGCTTCCAGAAAATGAGGCCTTCTGCGCGGCCGAGGCCGGGTTCGACTTCCCCCTCGAATTTGTGATCAAGGTTGCCTGTTGACGTACAGCCGGTGAATTCGGCTTTGTAAATATTTGAAGGGAGACGGTCGTTCTAAAGAGCTGCCCCTATGATTCAAAATATCCAAATAGCAGGCAGGGCCTGGAGTGTCCCTCTCCAACACGGGGTTGCCAGGCTTAGTCTCCCGAGCCCATAGGCTGAACTAACCATCACTTGTTGCTAGAAATATGGAATCGACCTGCATGGCGATCCCAGATAGCCTCGACTTAGGAGTCTACCGCGATTGTGTCGCCCTCGGCGATCTAAGAAACCACCGTTCGTGTGTTTATACAATCGAGGTTCCTCTGAAAATTACTAAACGTGAAGGCGACTTCTCAAAGATTGAATATTCGCTGAGACGGAAAGCCTAAATGGCAAACTTTAAGCTCCACTAGTGCAATTTACGTGACTGATCTATTCAAATGCATTCAATGACCTTTTTCAGGGAGTTGGGTGTCAAAAGATAATAGCCAACTGAAAACATCACAACCGTCTCGGTCCCTTGGCACATTCGCTTCAAGGATGGCCATATATAGTTGAACCTCATCTGGCCCGTAATCCTTAGAGTTTCTTCGACGTTCTTGTACTTTCGAAAAGCTTTCTTAGCGATTATAACCTGAGGGAATCAGAACATACCTTTTGCCGTTATGGCTCGATGCTTGCGGTTTTTAAATAAGAGTAACATCAGTGCGATATCTGAAGTATTGAGAATACCAAAGCATGATTTGGCCATCTTGAACGCTGTCTGTATCTCGAGCTGGGTTGTTATATGCTCGATAGACCATTTTGACCGAAGATCCCTAACGCGCTTTGTCCATAATCCCATTCCATTGGGATCCGCAAATTCAGGATAAAGATCATATAGTCCAGCCTGTACGAGTTAATCGAAAGATACCACACAAGATCGGCCTGAGTGGTGTAATACTTCCTGCGAAAGATACTCCCCGTTGTCAAACTTTTCGTTCTCAAGGCGAAAGCAGAAGAAGTTGCGCATTTTCTCATCGAGTTCAGCAGTCGCACGATAGGCCCGAAGCAAAGACATGTCCCGCGCAAACTGGCCATGAGGAAACTGCCTCGTGTCGACAGCGCAGATTTTGACATCTGCGGGGGCACAGGCACGTCTGTGGTATCTCCAGATCGCGTATTGGGTCACGAAAAGTATAGAACTACTCCACGACATCAGGTTGTCGGCGGCCTTCCCGTCTCCAAAAGATAATTTCGTGAGATGGTCGTGCAGCATTCTTGTTGCTTCCTCGTCTGTCCTTGAGAAGATATCAATCTTGCTGCACCGCAGCGCCGTGGAAATACTCTCCGTGGAAGCAACGACGTTCTCGTCGGTTCGGCCCGAACTCGCTTGATTGAACGCTCTGAATGAGTATCGCGGCACATCTGTAAGACCGCATTGAGGACGGCGACTTCCTGGCGGAAAGAATAGTGTAGATCCATCGGGACATTCACGAAGCGCCTCAACCCAAAACCTGATCCATTCTTCTCCTCTCCTCCTGTCGTTCTCGGACTTGCGCTCGCAACGCAAACGGAAAGCCTCAGCATAGCCATCGTCAACGTCCAGGAGATTTTCATGGTCGTAGTATTCCTCGCTCTCGAAGTCAGGGTCGTACGGCCATTCAGGACTGGCTTCGCCCAAGGGGATAAAGTAGTTATCGGAGTGCAAGGTTCCCGAAATATGAAGAGACTGGCTATAACACGCCTCTATGACTTTCCGCACAACGTTGCTGTTATCGCTGGTCACATCGAGAACATCCCGAGCGATATTCCTCAGTTTGTCGTCAAAATGCGACAGCATTGTTTGTACCACTGTTCCCTGACTGGCAAGCGATGTGATTTGAGACACAATATTCTGTTCGATTGCACTATCGAACCTCTCTATGACGCTTGCAACAGCGTTGGCTCTTCTCCTAAAAAAGTTTAGCTGCGTAATGTCTTGATCTCTCAAGGTATGTGCCCTTCCAGCCAAGGCTGCGACTTGTTCCGCGTGTGTGGCAATGACTTTGGCAGATAGTTCGAAAGCCTCAATTGCCTTCACGAGAGCCGTATGACTTGTGTCTGTGCAATTGGAGTCTGGGCGACGAGGCGGATCGATCGTCCCGTCAGCGAGCCTCAATCCTCCGATTGAGTCAACAAGATTAGCAAGTCCTTCCGCCATGCTTCTAGATGGGTTAGCTCTTGCTCAAGAGAGTAGACGGGAGCGTATATCTAAGCAGGAGCAAATGGATGAAGACCGCACGGATGAGGCTCTAGCTACAAATTGGACGTGCGGGGTTCGCATCGTAGTCCTAGCGGCGTGTAACGCCGCAAACATGAAATCACCACGTGATCGTAATCGTGGAGCTCTAGGTTCGGCTGCGATATGCAGTTACGAGCTCATGGCTGATGGAGTATCAGCATAAGTGGCTTTGGCTTACTTGGCGAGGCCTACATCAATGCTGGGTCATGAAACATTGGCTGATGGCGACACTCTGCACCATTGTCGTCGGATTCTTCGGGCTGTGCTGTGCGGCACTGCCCAACGGTGCAAATGCCGACTCACTCCTCCTTGTCCATCCCCGTAGCGTCCACTGCCACATCAATGAGGATCTTGCCTGCCATGGAACCCTTCTTATGCCTGGAGAAGGCGTCTGGAACCTCATTAAATGCAAATGTAGAATCAACGACTGTCCTCACTTTCTTCTCAGCCATCCACTTTGCAATCTGGGCAAGGTCTTCGCGCGAATTAGCCACCACGAGAGGCTTCCATTTGTGCTTGGATCCCCCGAGCCAGGACGGTAACATTGTACCAACGTTCGTGTTGAGGACGGAGGAAACGTTGATACCGCTCCCGACGGAGACGTAATAGCGCTTCTTTCCGGGGAGCATAATATCGTCACATCCGGGGAAGAGGTCGGACGGCGATCCGACCACATTGTCCACGACGTGCGCGAAGACCTTGCCTCTCTGGCGCAATATGGCCATGACATTCTCCTTGTTGTAGTTGATGATGCTGTCGGCGCCCAGCTCGGAGCAGAGGGGGACCTTGTCTGTAGAGCAGGTGATGGTGACGTGGCATCCAAGCGCCTTGGCAATCTGGATCGCGAAGGTGCCAACGCCGCCGGACCCTCCATTGATGAAGACGTTATCGCCCTCTTGGACGTAAGGCACGATGCTCTGGTATGCGGCAAGGGACGCTGTGCCGGCGGCGCCAGCTTCACGCGGGGAGATGCCGCGCTGCAGCACGGCGACACCGTCGAATGGGGCCACAACGTATTTGGAGAGAGATCCCTGCTTCAAAGGGTCCATGCGGCCAAAAACAGCATCGCCGGGCTCCACGCCGACGACTTTGCGGCCGACTGCAACAACATGACCGCCAAAGTCCATGCCAGGTGACCGCGGAAACGACACGCCCATGATCTTGGAAGCGCCGCCCATCTCGATGGGCCACCAATCGCCCCTCCAGATGCTGGCTGACGTGACGCGGACGAGAACTTCATTCTTGCCAATGGCCTCCGCCGACGGACAGGGGATCGTGACGAGCTCGAGGTTTGCCACGACATTGCCCGGGTTGTTGATGCGCCAGGCACGGCAAGAATTCTTGTCTTCGGACGACATGATTCAAGCCAGACTTTCAAGCTCGTTGTGACTTATTGTAGACGTTCTCGGGGCTATAAGAGCTGTACGATGGAGTTTGCGCGCATCTCAGCGTTATATGTCGTCCCCGAGATGCCCCTGAGTCCCGACGGTCCATGTTGACTGGGGCCTGCAGGGCTGTGATGCTTGCGCAGCGGCAAGCTAGACTGGGGTGAATTAGGTGAAGAGGTCGCCGTCCATGAATCGGCGTTCAACAGTAGGTCATGGGTCGAGCATTAAGGGTCGTCCGTGATCTAATTTGCTGGAAACTGTGACCTATCAGCGAAGTGTAAACATACCCACGCACGGGAAGCTTACTCCACTATCCGTATGGCCTCCTGCTTCCCGCTTTACAGGCGCCGCCAGATTTGCCGTCGCTTGCCGTCGCCCATCCGGCTTTGGGAAATCTGACCTGCTCATACCGAGATTTGAATCGGCATGGTCAATTCCTGGACATGTTAAATAGTGGCTGCCGTGCTACTGGACGCCCGAGTGGCAGGTTTAGAACCCCCATCGACAAAATGAGATTGCTCTCGTATCATCGTATGCGCCCTATCCACTCAAGCTTGAGCTTCAGGCTTGGTCGTTGGCCAGGGTCAGTGGGGCGCCCGCGTAGCCAGATAACCCTGGCCAAGCTGCAAATAACAGCCGTGAGACCACCTCTAAGTTCCGTTAAAGCAATTTCGGATCGAAACATGGTTGCCCAACGTCACCGCGTCAACTTGTTGAATGCGCATGAGTATGAGTTGGTGAGGACAATGTGGTATGTGGTTGCATTGCCATTTAAGCGACTGCCTGTGAAGGCATGAGGTCGGCAGCAACACGTGGCGCGAGGAATAGAGGAGCCGCAGTACTATGTAATCATGACTGGCGTGTATCGCATGTCCTTCCATATTTTCGCACCTGGCCTCAGCGTCCGGTGGATCGAGACAAGGCAACATTTCCGAATCGAGACCGACATTGGGCGCTTCCATCCTACCAAACTTGACATATCCTTCTCCAGAAATTGGAACCCGCAGCGATGTCGCTGCTTTGACTGTTGCGTCCGTGTGTTCCTTGACTAGCTTTGACGAGCTTTGACGCAAACTAGAAAGGTCTTGTTGGGAATTGTTGGACAGAGGCGAGCTTGGCATTTCGTGGACGCATGAGCCTCAGGTATCTCGATTATGATATTCTCGCAACGACTCGCGTTAATCCGACGGGAGCGAAGACCCATTGTGGTCATCGAAGAGTCACCATAGCGGGTGCCGTCACTTCCGTGAAGGCAACTCTGCCAAAGCTGGTCTTGCCCTCTTGGAAGCAGCTATTCCCGCAGCAGGACTGATAGCGAGGCCAAAAGTGAACAGAGTGGCAGAATTCGAGGTCGATGCGCGTTGGATTTGACACGTGTGCAGGCAGGGAAGGAGCTTGCTATCGCGGTATCTTGTCGCGGTTGCTGGGCTCAGTGGCGAGAAGCGAACTGCTTCGTGTCGTGCGCGGGCGCAATTGCGGTGATCGAAGTGTCATTGTTTGTGGAGCGATCGTAGTATGAGGGATGAGGAGAGCAGAACAAATCCAATACCAGTGTCACCGCAATCGAGGAGATCTACGTACGGATACTGTAGTGACGGTGCAACACTGAGTCACTGATGGTGCCCGCCATTCGGCGCTCGCTAGCTTCAGCGCTAATGCAGGTTATTGTCGCTAGTGGCAGTAAGAAAGCCAATCGGGATCGAACTGTGGCGAAGCGCGCCGTTAGCGTGGCAGGGCCATTCTATGTCCTTTAACTAATTAATTAAATGTCAGATCCGAAGGAACCTGACCACGCATGTCGCACTAGGGTAGCTTGAAGCAGGAACAGGCTCGCAGACTGTGGTATAAGTTTGATTCTTGTCCCCACAGTCAGTCCATCGGGTTGTCAGCTATATACAGGGCAATAATATTGAGGTCAGCATCCGACATGGGAGGGAGGGACTTGAGGTGCGGCGCTGGCTTAGTTATAACACCTTTTCTCGCACTATTTGTCAGCATCCGGCGACGAACTGTGGCCGCCACATTTCGTATTTTGTCGATTGGGTGCCCATTTCAGCTGCACAAGTCTTTCTACATGGCAGCTCTTGCTAGAATGACTGCTCAGACAGAGGACTGAACCCTTTGATGCTGAGGCCACAATGACTGCGGTTACGGCTATTGAGTCGAGGGCCTGCCGGCTAAAACAACTCAAAACTCTGTGGTCTTTTTAATCAGTGTGAATCAAAGGTCGAAGCCCCCGCAAAATCATGTATACTTACGTACGGATAGTAGGCGATGAATGATCCATCCATCTGCCCATTTCTAAGGTGCAGAGGGGGCGGGAGGCAGTTGGTGATGTACGTTTCGGCAGCCTCCGTCACATATCTGGAGAACTAATGCAATTGAATCCAAAGTTTGACATGATCCGAGAGCAATACGTGCGAGACAGCACAAGAGTGGCCACAGGAAAAAAGATCCGCGCGAGAGCTCAAGGGAACCCCAAGTTCAAGACCACGCCATTGTAAACATGATCGGGCGCAATTGCGGTGGCAACAGCGGAAAGGATACCTGAGTTCCAACGTGGTCTGGACCAATCCCAATAAGACCTTATAGCATTGAAGCACTGTTCCGGACCGTCTTTAAACGCATCATTAGTAGCTAGCAAAGACGCGGCCATAGCCCATTCGGCCTGGCGGCCCCTTTGAGATCGGCAGAAGGGCGACGACGAATAAATCATCAAGCCACGTGTGGGAGTTACCTACGGTCGACGCGTTTATGGTCCTATCGGCGGAGGGTCATCCCAAGACAGACCAAGCCAGCTCGCATGAAGATGCAAGAGATGCCAGTGCAAGCGTTCCGGCCACTGAGTCGAGACTGGATCCTTCCACCATCAAGCTACGCGAGGCTGACTATTTCGGCGTTCAATATGGCCATAGGTTAGCCATAGAATCTTGCAATCTGTGGGCCTCGAAAAAGGAATCCTCGTTTGAGTAGCCGAATTTCGACAAATTGCCCAAACGATCCCAAACGACCGAGTGTCGAGGAGACGATGAACTTTCTAGGGGACCTCGTTAGGGATCCTCTAAAACATCCCATCAGCTACTACGACGGCGGCGGGACGTCTCCGCTAGACTATATGCTTCATCCCGAAGAGACTCTAGCCGGATACAGGGAATTATATATTGGAAATACTAGCTTTTGTTATTTCTTTCTGCTACAATAACGTAGAATCCTTTTCTTGCAATACAAGTTACATTTGATCAAGATCTCGCTGGTCGTTCGGCTAGATAATTCACGCGTATTTAAGCTTACATATTCGGACGAATTAGGAGTGTAGCGACTGTGATTGGTTTGCTCAACACCTCGATTTATTGATTATACCGTCCGCCCTTTAGCGGGAGACCATCGAGTTCAACGTTCATGTGCTGGTCTTGGCGAGATGATTACGACGAGACGGCGTCAACAACACGCAGTCTTGAACTTCTCATACTGCATCGCCCAGTCTATCAACTTTCTTCCAGTCGGATAGCTGCTCGTCCGTGGTGGATTGCCCATTGCGAGCAAGAAGGGCTATGTGGCTTGCGCGAGACCTATCCAGTGAAGCTCGTTCCTCCACCCGGAAACCGACGCTTTAGGATGCGCCGCAAGAACCATGAAGCCGTGGCAAAAGGCGCTAACATCTGTGATAGTCTCGATTCGCAAGTCGCGTTCTTACGAAACGCCTTTGGTAAGATGAACTTGAATAAATGCAATGTCCGCAGTATCGATCACTTGATGGCCGCAAAGGTCGACGATGCCAAACAGCGCCGTGGACGCTTCAGAGCCAGGTCAACTGAGCTGGACAAGATGGCTCACAAGCTATGGCCTAAAGACAAACAACAAGTAAGATCATTCTTGCACTATCATCTTGGACAAGGCCGAAAGTGGAAAAAGCTGCGTGGACCACGCATTGGCCTCTTGGCAACCATCCCTCTGAGCTCAGACAACCCATTCACTATCAAGCCGTCCCTGTATTCGTTCACTCTATCCAGCGACTTCAATTTTCTCTCCACCCATATTCATCAGCCAACGAGCCAGCGGATCTGCCTCGCTCGTTTCCTGCAATTCCAACACAATATAAAGCCTTAGCTGCGTCTGATGGACGGAAGAGCCTCTCCCAAGGCGCCTGGTAAATTGCCATTAGGGAAGCTATGGAGCGTTCGCGTCTAGCACGCAAGCCCATGAGCTGAGTATGTGCGGTCTCGCCACGGATTTTTTCTGCATTTTCATGCATGAAGACGAGCGGCAACGCTCTTAGAACGAAAGGTAAGGAGAGAAATGCATTATTGAGCGGCTGTTTTTTTTTATTATGCAAAACCCTTCTGAGTGCCTTGTGACGCGCCCAGTACCACCCACCAAAACGCTCAGCCACGGCCCGCGACATGCAGCCAAGACCCGGACGAGGCGTACAAGGTTGAGCCTGGAGGCCTTCAGAGAATCATTTGTCGCGCTTTACCTTCACACTCAACTCAATCAAGATTCAATTGACGATCAGGATGCGCAAGCGCGCTTTGCCCTCGCCGCCAGACTTAGAATGAAATATCTGCCTTTGCTGTCCCATCCCTTCCAATGAAGAACAGTTTCTATTGGAACTGTTTCTCCTCTGCGCCGAAGCCCAGTACACAAGGCCGGCATAGTGGCCGCAGAAACAGTTGTCGCTTCACTATTGGTCGTTGAACCAACTTGCTGAACCAACATGGCCACTTGAACTGGACCGAAACAGACGACCAGGCGAAGAGCGTATGAGTAAAAGGCTGCTTGTCCCCACGTAGATTAATTTGCCATCTTTGGAATGTTCCTTAACTATTGACAATAGATAAAATTCCCTTCTCACGCTCAAAGCTTTACCAACCCGTGCCGGTAGCGAATATGGCCAGCGCGCAGCAGCTGGAAGGGTTGAGGGCTGAATGGGACTCGTGCGAGAGGCAGGACGCGCTGAAGCGCTCAGTAGTGAAGGCATATCCCCCTTCGACCGTGAGAGTATGTTTGCTGACGTTCAATGACAGCAACTATTTGCGTACATTGACGACCTCTCCAACAAGTTGTCTGAGACGGAGTCTGAGCTCCAGGACAAGAGGGACGCAATTCTGAAAGTACGCAGCGATCTTAAGGAACAAAAGGAGGAGGTTTAGACTCTCATTCGTGAGAAGGTCAGTTGACAAGACCACTGCGTGCTTCTTCAGACGGTTCGACTCACTTCCACAGGATCGATACGCGTTTGCACTCGTTATAGTTGACGGAGACAATATGCCCGTGAGTTCTGTAAAGATGGCTCGGCCCGAACGCCCGCTCTAGGCTTGCTCTCACAAAAAACAATGATCTAATGCCAATAGTTCACCAACGAGCTCGTTCAACAAGGCTTGGAAGGGGGCAAAAGCGCAGTCAGCCTGCTCAAAGAGGCCGCCGAAGCAGAGCTCAACACATCATTCCACCATCTAGCCCCCCACATGAAGATTCTGATTCGTGTGTATGCGAATGTCGAGGGACTTGCGGCCACATACAAGAAGCTGGATGTTGCTTCAGAGGTTGCGTTTGTAAACTTTGTTCGCGGGTTCAATATTGGATACACGCTGGCAGACTTTGTCGACGCGGGTAATGGGAAAGAATGTGCGGATGCAAAGATAAACGGTACGTCCACAATCACTTGACTTGACCTTGACTAGGCGGCTTGATGCCACCCGCGACGCTGACCACGCTAATCGCGCTCCAGCAATGGTGACTGCGCACTTGGATGACGTTCACTGCCAGCAGATTTTCTTCGGCGGATCGGCCGACGCTGGATACGCTCGCTTGCTTGAGCCGATCGCCCGAGACGAAACGATCCGTCGACGTATCACTCTTCTCAAGGGTCCGCCGTTCGTCCATGAGTTAGCCAATATCAAGGATAAATTCCACGTCCCGACTACGCCTCTTAGACACATTTTCAGGGACGAAAAGCTCCCCGATATCAAACGAAGAGTGTCGTTCCGCATCACTCCTCCGACCACACCATTGGCCAATTACGCTTCCACAGTTGCCAAACCTCCTCCTAGCACTCTGCCATCAAGTGGATCTGTGTCCAAGGGGGTCATGAGAAACCGGCAAGGTCAGAGAATTGATCCACTACCCAAGTTTACGCAACGGGAGCTGGGTCCGATTATACAGCGCAAACTGTGTAATGTCTTTTACCTCCTGGGAACTTGCACCTACCTACAGAAGTTTGGTAATTGCGGATTCAACCATCAAGTGCTCCTCAACAAAAGAGAGAAGGAGATGTTACGAGAAATTTCGCGCCTGTCTCCCTGCAAGGAACGCCTCGAGTGTATGATTTGGATTGCATCTTGGGCCACCAGTGCCCGCGTAACTGCAGGACGTTGCCATACTGTCGTTTACGTTTTGACGAGAGCATGCACAATGTTGATGTCGTGGTTTATGCTAAAGCTTAGCTGGTTGTTTTTGGTTTATCTTTGCTACAAGCCGTTGCTTCATAGACAAAATCGGTTGTCATTCTGTTTGCTGTCAGTCAGCTCTAGCCTGTCAAGGCAACTAGAACTAGTCGCGTTGGAGGATGGCTGTTTGTCTTTTTTAGTTCTGCAAGCTTGAAAATTCGCAGCACCCACGGGTATAAGTAGGGAAAACATTCAGAAAAGCTTTTCGATGCGTTTTTCAATCGCTGCACTGCTGTGCTGGCGGCGAAGTGAAGAAGTGGCAGGCTGGACCCCAGCGTGCGGATGGCGACTTGGTCGCAGGCTGTTGCTTGAGGTCCGATCTCCCAAGCTTCCTAAGACTCGAAACACAATTGAGACATGTACTTCAGATTAGATAAGAGGAATCGCTATTGAACCAAATGTCTCGGTGGTGACGACATTCTGCCATTGGTTCTTGAACCACACGTCGGAGACTTTGCCACCGAAATGAGAATGAACATGGCAACAACAAGTTTTCATGGCTTCAATCCCTTCAATGAGCAGTCACGTATATGGAGAACTAGCAAGCCAAGTCCACAGGAAATTAGATGGTTTGCAACACCTTTCCATTCATCGAGCTGGAACAAGATCCCCTAGCCAAGAGACCACCTGCTATACTGTCACTCATTCACCCCAAATACGGACCTAACTCAAGTATCATTCATTTGGACGTCCGTTCCTCTCGAAGCGCTTCAGATGCTGTACCGGACGCAGCATGACAAACTTTGCCCCCATTGCACAGCTTGAGGCAGCTTTCGTGATGGAGAGGACTTGTGAGACGGACTACAGCAAGGGTTGAACGGAAAAAAAGCCAACAAACACTTATACTAGGGGGATCGGCCCCTGAAGTCGTCTTATCACCTTACCCCCTGCCCCTCCCCCTCACCCCCTGCTCCCCAATCTATATTTGTTCGACGTTGTATCGAGCAGCCGTCAGTGTGCTGATCGTGCCCCTCCGGATCACGCACACACACGGGCGTCGTTCTATCAAGCTAAGCGCGACACAAACGTGGGCGTCGCAGAAGCTCACTTGCAGGCTACCGAGTGACTGGCAGTGAAATCTAAACCGCCAGGCTCCATCCAGCAGATGACTAGCTCGGGGAAAATATGAATCCAAATCATAGTATCATCATTATCGTCTCGCACAACCCACGTCATCATTCATTTGTGCAAATCACCGACTCTTAACATGTCCCCTGGTTGTCAGATCATCCTCTTCGGGCCATCTCGGTCTCGCGCGCGAGGCAGGAAAGGTTCATCCAGGCAACGCTGTCTTTTTATCATTCGAAAGGTGCATCAGAACACTACATTGAATTACGAAGAGTCGGACAGTGGCGGTGTAAGGAGTGCACTTGGTCCATGTCTTCTGTTGTTTGTCAGGCAGGTTTGCCTTGATTAGTCAGCCACACATTCGGCCCGGGGGCTCATAGGTGCGCACCTAGGTGCGCACCTATGATTACTTAGTCAGCCGCTGTATCACTGCTGGCCTGCACCCCTATTAATAACTTTATAATATCAATAACTTCTCTTGTTTAAGTATTTATTAATTAAAAAATAATTCCTTAGTTAATTCGAACTATTAATCTCTTAATCTAAGCGTAATACCTCATATAACGCTTATTATTTATTAATATCCCTCTCCGCTATATCCTATAAATCCTATATCCCTCGTCTACGAATAGATCTCCTACTAGCTACTTCCTCGGTTATATTAGTAATAACCTAAGCCTTAACTCGCTTATCCTCTTTCTCTTCCTAATCTAGATAGGCTATTTATTCCTCCTTAGTCTAGTCCTTACGTAGCCTTCTTACGGTATATTACTTACCTATCCGCTTATAATTAAGATAATATTTATATACCTTCTTACTATAGCGTAATAGTAGGCCTATCGCCTTCCGATATTACTGGTTAGTCTTTAAGCTACCTTATAGCAGCGTTTAGTACCAGGCGGCTCGATAAGTAATATATCGTTCGTATATAGCGTATAGATAATCGAAGCGTAATTATAGCTCCGGTTCTGGCGCGGGCTCTAGCTGTGGTTCTGGCGTGAGCTCTGGCTATGACTCTGGCGCCGGTTTAACCCCTGATGTTAGCTCCGGCACGAGCTCTATTAAAGAGGTTAGCAATACCACGCAATACGAGGCTAAAGGGCATACGTAGTGGTATGATTAGGCTCTATACTAGCGGCGGCGGCGTGTTAAGGTCGCGATAAGGCTGTAATAGTGTTGAAATAACGGTCGCTGAAGCCGCGATACCTTGGGTCGACGCTGATGCTAATGCTGACGCTGATACTGACGCTGATGCTGACGCTAATGCTGACGCTAATGCTGACGTAGATGAAGATATAATATACGCGTAGCGCAGGCTATATAACTTCGATATTAATTTGTGGCTAACCTTATTACACGCTAAGTATATAGGCTGTTTCCTGGATAGCCCCTCGATAGCTTTAAACGCGCTTAGCTCGCGGCGAGTGCTTATCCTTAGTAGTATTAATCGGGCCGTGGCCTAGTCGAACTGTTAATTTAGCTCGATTAGGAATTATAGCCTCTTTTTATACTAAAGGTACTAGTATACGTGAAATTAGCTTAGCTAGAGGGGCCGTTATTCCTTTATAAGGGGCTCGAGTATATAAGCGTAAGGGAGGCCGAGTGACGATATAAATCTACTTATATAGGGAGGAAGTGCCTTATTTAGTATAAGTAACTTCCTCTAGCCCTCGACCTTCCGTAACGCCTCGTAGGAGATCTAGCTATATACGATAGTATATAGCTTCTTATTAAGTTTGATCGGTATACGAAGTCGCTGCTTAGCTTGATTATCCCGTAGCGAGGCTATTTAATTAAGGACTACGCGCGTAATCGACTTCTAGGTATTAAAGAGATCTAGCTAATTTATATAAAGATAGATCTTAATTAGCTAGTGAATACCCTCGCCGCGGGATATAACTATATTATCGAAATATATATATACTTATTAACCTAGGCCTTTATAAGCCTCTCTTTATATAGGTCGAGCTAGGTTTCTATAATATAGCTAATTTCTCTAGCGTATGTTGTAGCGTAATATTCCTTAAGGGCCTAGAGCCTCTACTTAAAGGTTTCGCTAGATATCGAGGCGATAAGTTTATACTATATCCTATAGAAATCCTACTATATAAGTTAGCCCTCCGTCCCGCTAATATCGTCACGGAAGCTTAGTAAGTAATAGCGGAGGACTACCTTATTCGCGTGCTAGAGGTATAATAGAGCTACCGCGTCTAGGAAGCACATAGATATAGCGTTCATATAGGCGAGGTAGCGATCGGTAAGGATAATACTCGGTAGCCTTACCCCGTAGGTGTTATATATCGAGCGCAATCGATCTAATACCTAGATATAATCTATCTCTTCTTCCCCGCTAAGGAAGGCAAAGGCGATATAAAAAGAGCGTTAGTAAGTATCCACGCCGACTATATCGAGGAGGGGTATCCGGTACTTATTAATCTTATATATATAATTAAGAATAAAAGTATCTAGGTATAGACATAGGTACCCTAATAACTCTAGGTATATAAATATCACGGCTATAACCCTACTATCGTCGTCGAAATAAATACGACTCTAGAAGCCCTCTATCTCGAGTTCGTTAGCGAGGGCGTGAATCGTACTTTAGCCTTCCTAGCGCGATCGCTTGCCTTCCGCGATATAGTTATAGATATCTTGCTAGGTAGCTCGCGTGCTAGACTTAGAGTGCGTGCGTAAGTAAGAGCGAATCTCTTTAGGTATAATCCTAGCGTTCGTAAAGGCGTGGATAGAAGTTATATCGGTCTACGATAACTAGCGATAGACTAGATAAGCGATAATATCAAAGCTAAGGCCGTGGTTATAACGCCTAAAGTTATTAGCACGATACGCGAGGTACTAGACCGACTTATCTAGCGATTCCTTCGCGAGCACCGAGAATTAGTATCCTATACGCTTTAATATAGTAGACCGTATGCGCGGTATAGAGCTACTCGGCCTCGTCTTTACTCGATTATAGCTAAGGAATATAATCCGTCGGCCGCTCGTTAATAACTTCGACTTAATAGTTACGAATACGTAGCCCCTAGCGGCTGCCTATATATTAGCGGCCTAGATAAGGGCTTTACGAGAGGGATATTCGTTCTCGGGGGGTAAGGTATTATTAATAGACTCTCCGATAGTCAGAGGGTCGCTTATAATTACGAAAGAGCCTTTAGATAATAATTAGTGCCTTAATCGTGCGTTAGAAGATAAGGCTCGCTTAGATACTCCTAAGGAAAGTATCCCGAAGTATCTGATTAGTAGGCAAGTAATATTTATAGGTTTTGGCTAACTAAGTAATCCTATTCGCGCACCTAGGTGCGCACCTATGAGCCCCCATTCGGCCCACAGCTGCCCTCAAAGGCAGCATCTTCGCGCTATCGCGTTCTTCCTTCTTTTCTATAGCATTAGTATGTTCTTCAGATAGAGAACTCATCATCTTCCTTCTCTTCTGAGCTATTATTCATCACTATCTTTATAGGTTATAAGCCCTCTTTTTTTCCACTGCCTAACCTCTTTCTTTCTTTCAACCGCGTCATTGAACGCATACTTAACCGCGGCCTCACACGGCACACACCTAACCTATAACCAGGCTTATAAAACCTTTCACTAACCGTAATAACGTTATAAAAGATTCGATCTTCCTCGAAGTCGAAAACTCAACC